AACCGCTCTCCTTGTTCCTGTTTGAGAAGTGACTGCAGTAATGAACCTTAGTTTTAATTTTCCCACAACAGCTTTCTAGCCTCTGTTTGTAGTGGATAATTGTGTAATGGGGAGATCATCCTGTATCTTTCTTCCCTCCTGCAACTACATTAATCAATCACTGCCTAGTTCTAAAAATGCTAAATACTGCCAGCTACTCAGAAAGACTTTAGTGTAGTGAGACCAAGGAGTGAGAGGCACCATGAAAGGAGGGTCCTGGATGACTGTACTTTGGCTGTCTGCAGGTTAAGTCCTGAATTTTGCAAGTTCGTTTTGGAGGAAGGAAATGGTTTGCGCAGAGGCCTGGAGGGCTTGCTCCTGTCTCCTGCAGGAGTGTGTGTGACCCTGCATGTTCTGGCAGTGGCTCCCAGCAGTTCAGCTCCTCAGTTGAATCTGGTTAGGGACATCAGAGAAACTGGAGAGAGCCTGAACCTCACAAGGCTGTCAAACACTGCAGACATCCTGCTCATCAAAACAGACACGCTAGTCTCTAAACAGGACTGAAGTGTCCGTATCTTCCCCTCTCCTAAATAATTTAGTCATCCATCTTCACCTTTTTCCTGACCCGTCTGTCTCCTCCTCTTGGCTACCCCTCTATAAACATCCCCAAACTCCAGGCTTCTCACTGTGCACCAGCACAGACCCACTCACAGCCCAGCAGCCATTGCCAAGCACCCTGCTCCTCTCCGGCACAACTCAGCACCCATCCGCTCGCCTCAGCCAGGAGGTTTTGTCCTGTTCCAGTTTGGGCAGGGCATATTCACTGAAATTTCTAGGCATGCAGTTTGTTTCCATACTGCATAGTTTCAAGTAATTCCCATACCCTCTTCTATGGAGAGTCTGTTTCTGGCTTTCCTCAAGCATGGGACTGAACTGGGCTTAGCAAGTATGCAGGTTTTAAAAGTCACCTATGTTTTGTATCTGTCAAACTAGTACTATGGCATCATGGTGTGGAAGGAGCTTTTACTGCAACACCAGAGCAATTACTGAGAAAGCCTAGCTGTTCCCTTTCTCTCCTTCCTCTGTCTTACTCTGTTTTCCTATCTCTAGTTTAGTCGAGTTTTTAAAAATATCCTGCATGAGTGACTTTGCTAGAGATTATTGCAGAGGGCCTTGAATGCCATGTGAGGGCACCCTCTTTTAATGTTAAGTCACTGGCAAAACCTTAAGCTTTCTGGCTGAAAATTTCCTGGGAAGTTTTAGAAGAGGATACTTAAGACTCAGGGCAGAGAAAAACTTGGTGATTAAATAGTACAGTGAAATGAAGAGAAAATGACCACGAGCACAGAACATGTTCGACTCACTAGGGCTGCTCAGACAAAAAGGAATTTTGCTTTTCTTTGGATATGCAAAGATTTTTGCCAGGAGGTTGCTATGGTGACTTTTCAGCTATTCCAACCCTCTGTGTACTGTAATTACATCTTCAAGTCTGTGAGCTGGGAATCTTTGATTCTTTGGATGAAGAATGTGGGTGGCTGACTTTTCAGGGTCTTTTTCAGCCAGCCATTTTTATTATAATGCAAACTAAAAAGATTCATGTGCTTGTGCCCTTTATAGCTGCTTACAGTTCCTATTAGACCTTCTGGCCTCATTGACCGTCATCCTCCCAAGACCTTCTTAAATGATTTTTAACTAAAAGGCTCCCATTTCAGAACGCTTTGGTCCTGCGTTATGCATCAGCTAAGGTTATTCAGAGGATGTTTAGCTCCCAGTTGGACTGAGTTTTCTTTATACCACTTTTATACCACTGGACATTTACATTTGGTTCCTAAATTAAAATCTGCATAATGATGGGAGAAGTATTTTCACATTTCCTCCTCTTCTGTTATTTACTTCAGCTGTCACTGATTGAATGCTGAAAGCACGGGGGCTGTGCAAATATTATCCGTATTGTCTAGTCAACCGACCTGCACAGTTATACACAATTCCCCTGAGAAAATGCATCATTAAACAAGAGTTAAAGCATAAAATATATATCCCTTAAATCAGAAACATTCCGACCATTGTCATTCAGATAAAGACAAGAAAATAGTAACGGAAAGGGGATTTGGTGTTAAGTTTCAACAAACAGTTGTTATTAATACTGTTTTTCTTCAGAACAGAAGCATCAGAAGAGCTTGTGTGGTCACATTACAAGGACCTAGAGAGCTCCGTGACCCCATACTCTCACTCACCCTCCACCTCCAGCTCAGAAGACTCCTTGCGCACCAGATATTTTGTTCTCTTCTGACACCAGTTCAGATCCTTCGCTGGGGAGCTGTTCCAGTCAATGCCTAATGAAATGAGAAGGGCCCAGCTCAGATGAGTCGGAGCTCAAGTTCCTCCCCCAACTTGCATGTATGCAGAGTCAACAGTCACTCCAAACCCAGACATCCTCCGCTCCGGGCATTCCCACAGGTCCGAGACCCTGACTCCAAGAGCTATGCCATACTCAGCAATGGTGATCGATTACCCGCAGGACTGAAACGGCTTAGCTGCAGGCAACGTTCATTCCCAGACCAAAGATCTCTCTCCCCAGGGCGATGGGAGTGCTCGTGTGTTTGAGGAAGTGGCTCAGCACCTTGCTGGATCGGGGCCTGTGCACAGAGCAGAGGCCTGATTGGAACTGACCTCTGAACACTAACCTTCAAAGTGTTTGACGACTGCAGAAATACAGGCTATAAATAACATACTTGATCATAAACCATTATCCTTCAACTTCTATTGTAAAAGATCAGATTAGTTCACTAAATGAAGTGTGGGGCGGAGGCAGGAAAAGATTAGCAGTGTGTTAATCTTTCTCAAAAACCCTGAAGGATGTAAATATTACAAGTATTTTTTGGAGACAGTGAACAGCGATGCTGTACAAACTTTTAGGTTACAAATTGCTTTTAGCACAAAACAGATTTATTCATTCTTTTTTCATTTCAATGCTATGAGAAAATCTTTTTGGCTAAGAGTTTTTGAATTCTGTAGTACCTATTTTAGAGATCTGGGTAAAATTCTTGTGAAGTTCTAGGAATTTAAGAAATACAACTTTAAGAATACATCTAAACCTTCAGATTTATTTGGGTCATTTGTTACAGGCTGATTTTAGGATGACATACTTTTTTGATACTGTCAAATAACCTAAGCATCTATTTTTAGAAGGAAAATTTCACATTTTCTACATTCATTCTTAATTTTTTTTAAATTACACTTTTTAAATCCAAAATTGGAATGAACGTTTTTGAGGGACCCAAACAAATTTGTTATGATTTGTATTTTCCTTTTTTTTCCCCCTTGGTTATGTTTCAGCACCAGAAGTAGAGGAATTTTTAATAAAATAAGAATCCTGTCCTGGACTAGTTGCTAATGGCCCCTGAAAGAAACTAGCTATCAGCAAACATCCTGCACCGCGTTTACTGCAGATTTCTGTGTCATCACCTCGCATTGCCTTTCTACATGGCAGAAGCACTGGGTCAGCTTCCAGAACACGATGTTCAACAGAGTCACTGCCGCTTTCTTTTTACACAGCGCTGCTGTTTCGGCATGGTTCCTTGGGCATGGGCTTCTACGTGTGTGTCTGTATTCCCCTTCCCGGGTAAAATCTGCCCCTCTTGGTTATTCACTTGCATTCGGCTAAGATGCTGCTATCGCTCTACTCACCCGATATAGTGGCTGGAGCACTGGACCCAGCGTGCAGCTGCCTGGACATACTGCCTCTGTAACCACACAAGAGCATTATCTGTTCACATGCCCTGGGAAAACCTTAATTTTGTCCTCTATGGCTACAAAAGCATAGCTGCAGAAAGTGCACCTGGACTTCTCTTTTACAACAATCAGGACCAGATTCTTGATCTTGCTCCATCTCTGAAATCCTCATAGATCCCCAGCATGTGGGATCTCCGGCTGGTGTCGAGGCAGCAAACTCGGGGCTATTCCTCTCCCTCAGTCCGAACGTGTTTCCAGAGGGTTGTGCCAGGGGCATGGCCATGGCACCCTGCATCTAGTGGAAGATTCCCCATGGCTCCCTGTCAGCTGGAGTGGTCCAGCCCTGGCCTTTTGCCTCTCATAAACAGTGCATTAGCCCTAAGGATCAAGCCTCACCAGCAGTTCTCTCCCGCAAACTAAACAGACAACCTTGTACGCAACCCATGAGTCTCTCAAAACTGCAGTGCCTAACAGGAGTTTGTCGTTCATTGATCCAATCCACTGCTACTGCTATTGCAACCACATCACATAATCTCTTAATTGCTGGGACAGAAAATGCTACTTCCGTGCAACTCGCCTACATTCCACTCCCTGCCTTAATGGCCCCAGAGTGACTGCCGCATGGAGGCTTACATGAATTACAATGTCAATCTCATAACTGATTTTATTAGTAGCGTCTCTTCATGGTTCCTGGAATTATGGATTATGAAAATTGCCTTGAAAGTAATTTGCTGTTATGAGACTTTGGAACAAGACCTTTATGGCTTGAGTGGTTAATATGGTATTAGACTCACCTCGAGGGACATTGGTGGCTATGAGCGGCTGTGGTAGGAGTTAAAAAGCCTTGGCGATGGAGCTGTAGCAAGACTTGGGTGAAATGAAAAATCACATTCTCAAACGACCTCTTTAAACCTGGCTTGTCTCCATAGTGCAGTGCCATTAAAGGCACCTGGTCTGTTCTGAAAGAGTCAGCTCAGATGCTTCGCATAGGAATTTACCACACCTCTTGCTGGTGCACAAAACATTAAAAATCCCAAGCATATCCAAAGACTCGTGTGAGTCCCTAATAGGACACATCTGCTGTGATCAAATCCCACCACCCTTTTCTCAGCAGTGTGCACCACCACGAAGTGCTCAATCGCATTAAGCTGCCCTTGATGCAGCCAGCTTTGCTTTGGCTACTTTCCCTGCTGTCCCAGTAAAAGGAGGTGCTTGTAGACACACATGCACAGATTAGTCTTGGGAGCGGATCGAAGGGAACAGGGCTTTTTTTTTAATAAGGTATTCGGGCCACGTGGGAGGAAATATTGCTTGTGGAATTTCATTTGTGTGTTATTCTGAGCAACTTCATATCTTTCCTTTGTCAAAGCTGTAACCATGTTACAGCTAGGACAAGGCACGCCAGGCTGTAATTACACTGGGTGAAATCTTGACTCTAGTAAACAAGTGACAAACATCCACTGACTTCATTGGAGACCCGGGTTACTCACCACATAGAGGTGAACCCTGGCAGACTGAGGCGTGCACATGTTTATGAATTATGGGCTGACTTGGGACCGCTGGATGTCACTGTTGCCCCATGCAAGTTTTGCTGATGGGCACACAGCAGATGGCTCTTGCAAAGAAAATGCTGGCATTGAAGGAAGAGTAAATGCAGCATAAAAAGGAAAAGCAAGCTGCTTATTTTTCACAAGTGGTATTTAAAAGAAAGAACAGAACTGCAAGAAACAGGGAGTGAATTTTGCTTACAGCTCATCGCTGCCCACTGAGAGTGACGTAAGCTCACTTCCTCGGGGCTTATGGCGGTGTGAGATCAGAGCCCAGCCACACACTTACGTACTGCCCTGTCGAACGTAACGTGCCAAGCTGACACGCGCTGGAGAGAGACATGGATTGCATCCCTGTTAGCGGCGCATTAGCGCTTCGTGTATGAACCCGAGAGACAGAAAAAGCTGTTAAGCATGGCTCACAGCGCACTGTAATCCATCTGCAGAGCAGGAGAGCCGATCAACCCATTTGGTCCCCGCAGCATCACTACAGCCCTCCTCATCTCCTCCACTGGGTTCAGCCCATTTTTAAACATGCTCCTCTCCAGGTCCTCCTGGGCACGTGTATGTTACAGCAACAAGAACAGAAAAATACCCACAACAAGAGTGACTCTCTTCCAGTGGCTAATAATTTCCACTGCCATTCTTCTGAAGCTGGAAACACCTTCTAGAAGAAGAGCAACAACCGTTGACGTAAGCTGGCCTCAGAAATTTCTTTCTTAAAGTTATCTCTGGAATCATTTGTACCAACGAGACAGAGTCCTTTTTGGCATGAGACCACAAAAATTACAAATCAGAAATTCAGCCAAGTGTCTTTCACATTTGCCGATTTACACTTTAAGTCCCCCCTTCCCTAGTAAAATCTTAGTTATATCCTTGTAAATATGATGGAATAACGGTTCTCATCTGAACACAACCATCCAGACAGGAGTTCAGGAAGACAGGGACCTCTGTAACACCCCGTAAAGGGAGCTTCCTCCAAGTTACTGAGGTCTGATTCTTCTCTTTGGTTTCTTCATTCTTAACGGTTGTGGTTTCAGTAAAAAGATCCTCTGTTCTGAATTTCCAGTCATGCATTGGACCGCTCTTTGCCAATTCCTCCCCACCTGCAACCAGGCCTTCCCTCCTGCCCTTTTCTTTCAGTCTAGCCAATGAATTATTTAGAAGGGCATTTTTGGTCAGTGACATTTCCAAACAGGGCTCATGCTGGAATCCTTAAATTCTCCCACATTTGCAGCCTTCCTCAGTGCATGCAAACAGAGGAAAATCCCAGTCACAAGTTTCCTGGTACATATATCTACATTTAGAAGAGTTTACCTATGGTTTTGCTAATCTTGTTATTTCCAAGTAGCCTGGAAACTGTATGTTCATAACTGGAGGACTTCTACGTGGTTATGATGATGCTGGTCAAAAATAGGAAAGCGCCAGTTACTCTGAGAGCCACTAAAATTGGACAGTTCAGTAGTCACAGTGGGCTAAACATTTCAGAGAGTCAGCTGGAGCCAGGAACAGACAGAAGCGATAGAAAGAAATCTTGTTCCGCAACAGTCCGGTGGACACCTGACTGCAGCTCTGGAAGAGAGAGCACATCACGGCTAACACTAAAAGTCTCTGACCAGTGGTAGGGTTTCCTCAGTAGCCGTTATTTCCAGCTGGGAAGTTAGGACTGCCTGAAGTATGTGAACTATTCTGCTAGGAAAATACAGATGACACGGAAACTCAAATAGACAAGTGCCATAGCCAAGATTTTTTCCAAAGCCTGAATTCAGTGTGTCATATCATTGCTGCTTTTCTCATTCCTTTGGCGGAGGAATTTCTTAAAGCGATAATAACATTTTTCACTAGACATGACCAAAACCCTATAAAAGCTTTGGAGCTAAATTTAACATAGCGAGATACACTTCTTTTGTAAGCGGACATGAATTTATCCTTCTAATTTAGCCCAGGTTGTATGGTTGGGGGCCCAAAATGCAGGGACTTTTTTTTAGCTAACAGCACACGACGCGTGTCACATCGGCTTTTGGTTTGCCCAGGACAGACAGGCAGACCAAGCAATACCCCTTCTCTACAACAGGGAAGCAGTTGTGTAACTAACTCCAGCATCCATATTACCATTGCCTCCAGTTCTGCTGTCTAGATATATTTAAAGGTCTTTTTGATCCAGAAGCCATTTCTTATAGGCTACATTTTATTACTAATGTTATTTTATTACGAAGCACAGCCAGGAGTCTTTTTACTTAGTCTCTTGTTTGCCAAATAGAAATGTATTTTAGTCATTAATTATGGGCGCTAGATGTGAGTGGGAGGATGAGCTTTTGTTTTCTCTCCCTTTCAGCTAGTTAACTGCTCGAACCTGGTGAGGAGAGGAGGAAAAGCAGTCATGTGGGGTAAAGCGCTCTGGAAACCCCGGTCAGGCTGGTAGGGGATGGAAATGTTGCTCTGTGGCCTGCCTTGAAGAAGCTGGTGGTTTCGGTGCAGCTCCCATACCGGGAGTTCATGTCACACGTACACAAACTCTCCCCGCAGACCTCAGGGACTCCCCCTTTCCGCTGCTGAGAAAATGGGTTGTGCCTTTCTTTTCCCACCAGAAGTCCCTCCAGGTTGGAGTGAAGGGAGATCTGCAAAGGGAGAAAAAATGGTGCCTTGTTACAGGACCAATGGAGAAGGCCAGAGGGGTCAGTTGTTCTTAACTGAGATCTCAACCCACCCTCACCGTCGTGCAGTGGAGAGGGGCACAGGGCTGTGGGCTCGTCAGCCCGAGGGCTTCCTTCCCCCGCACAACAGCCAGAGCACAGTGGCAACAGCACCCACATCACTGGGGTCTGCTGAGGGTCAAAGCAGGGTTCTCGCTGCGGCTGCAGACTCCTGTCCATGACTGCGGTTGACTGTCTTGTTTTATCTGTGCATGCACTTGGCAAACCTCAGGTGATTCAGTGGTTTGACCCAGACACGCTTATTCTGAGTGCATCCTCATGGCAGCCGCACTTTGTTCAGAAAACCGTGGCTGGGAATTTTGTAAGCCATCCCTTTAACTCTTTTAATGCCTCTGTAAATAGGCAACTCTCTTTACTTAGCAACTGCCTGACTCATTTCCTTTCCGAGCAATCCCCTGGGTTCGCTCTGCATTACTTCCTCCTCACATTTTCTACATCTTCTGATATTTTCCCTTTTTTAGCGGAGAGAGGCAGTTAAAAATAGCAACAGGACTGCAGTATGTGTCCATAAAATCAATACTACCACCTCAGAGATCTTCTCAAGCTCTTTCTCAGAATCACTCAATTTTCAGTTGTATGATTACTGTTAAGACTTGAGGCAAGAAAAAGGATGCATTTTAGTAGCTCCTAAATTTTTTTTCTTTATTAGCATGTAAACTTCTTCAGTATAAGTCAGGTAGATGTTTTCAAATATTTCTGAAGTAGTACTGATATTAACAAACTCACCAGAAGAGAAAAAACAG